TTATCAACAACACCTAAATGTTTATATTTGGTCCCAGTAAATAACATCAACATTTAACTTATATATTCATAAAATAAATCATAAATGATTTTTTTTTGTTAACCATATTCGCTAAAATGTTGTCATTTTGTCTGAGAACGGAAATCAATCAATATCAATCATATAAGTCGTGCTCTAATCGATTTAAGAATTAACATCAATTATCTTATATCAAGTTCCACCTACTAATATTCTACTAGCATGACAATGTTGAGATGAAAGATATTTTCATTTTTACATTGAAAGAAGAAAGCCCACCACATGCCCAATCACTGCACACATAGACTGCTTTTACTGGTCACCCTGACCGAAATGTACTGTTCTAACTTGGAAATTGTCTGTGTGGGCTGGAGTTTGGTGAGGGCTCATTGGAATCGGACAGGTGTTTGGCGGTTGGTTGAGATGGAACTGGTCGTTGGCTGTGTTTGTCTGTTGGATCAGTTGGGGGTTCTCGACTGTGTTGGCCACTAGAGCCCTCTCTGTGACTGGAGCCTGCATAGTTGCGTGATTGGATGGATTTCAGGCGGCCGGTATATTTTCCTTGGCAGCTGTGTCAGGATATTTGCAACCGATCAACGGTTTTGTGGGTGGGGATATGTAGGATGGGTTCAGTTTGGTCATGGGGTGTTGTGCCTCCAGAGAGCTGACCTCTTTAGTCATGAGAGTCTTGAGAGGCCCTGCTCGGTTGATTGATCGAGGTCAGGTCTCTGCAGGGACTAACTTTTATTTAGTTTTTCCTTTCGAATTAGGGGGTGGGGGCTTTGTGACCTCAAAAATGCTGAGCTGGGCGTGTTATCGATTGTGTTTCAAATCAATTGCAGGGATAGGCTGCGTTTGGTGGGTGGTTACTGTTTGCTTTACTCTTTACTTGAGAAGCTCTCTCTATTCTGTTTTCCCAGCTTGGTACTTAAACGGTTTTCTCTCACCTCTTGGGTTTTTTTCTCTCACTTTTCTGCTCTAATTGTCTCTCTTCTTCTCCGCCTACTGTTTGAGGGTTTCTTTTGCTTTGCATTGGTGGTTAGTCGGGTTTTTGCTCTATAGCTGGAACTATGGATGCGGTTTTGCTATGCAATCTCAAGGGTCCCAGCAGAGATGTCGTGCTCCGTCTGCGTCTGCTTCATATGTGGTTTGCGAAGAATCCTGATAGATCCAGAGTGTTCAAACGGTATTATAGCCTTGCCCCCTTTGTCTTTTTTTTTTTTACCTTTTTTTTTCTCGTGCTAACTCATTATGCTTTTACTCTGTTGGTTCCATGCAGGGCATGCTCATTCAGAGCCTTGCAAATGTTTCTCTTGGAGATGCTTTTGAAGGTGTTCTGCGTGTTGGAACTATCTACATAATCAGGGCTTTTGGTCTTGGTGTAGCAAGGAATCTTACTGTGCATGATCCTTGGATCTTATAATGGAATTGTTGAGGACCACCAGTTTCAGGCGTGTGTTCTAGCTGCTGCTGATTTTCCCGTTGAATCCTTTGAGGTTGTGCCATACAGTGCACTGCTAAAGCATGCTGGTGATAATCGCATCCTCTCAAGTGTTGTGCCCGTTTTCTTTTACTTCTTTCAATTTGTTGTGCTTGTCTGTTCTGTTTTGCTCTTAATGTTCGTTTCCTTTTGAAACTTTGCATTAGATGTCATTTGGCGCTTCCATTCTATCAGTGGGGTACATCATCAGCTTACCAGTCATGGATCCTGGATAGTGTTGCTTTGATTCAGGAAGATTCCATCGAGCCAGTCATTATCGCAGTTGGGAGCCTCATGGTTGGCTGTTTGATTGGTATGTTTGTGCTTTTTGGCCCTTTGATTATTCAGCCTATGGGAGAGATTTTGATGTTTCCTTGATTTTGTTATGGTTTTCAGAAGGTGAATACACATGTTCAAGCTCTTCTGCCACCCGCATAGTTGTTAGCCCTTGCATTCCTGAGGCCTATAGCCTGACTGCTTTGTGAGTTGTTGATTACTCCTTTGTGGTTTTGTAAAGCTTTGTTCTGTTTCTAATTTAGATTATGTTTAATGTTACAGCTTTGTTGGGGCAAGGCATCCTGTGGCAGGTCTGGCCATTCAGTTTGCTACGCTTGAGGCTGCTCTTGCGGATGCAGAGTGTCGTACGAGGACCATACTTGAGCTCCATGATTTGTACCGTGCTAGTGCTTCAGTGGTATGCATGTTCCCTCTGTGCCCATCTTTGTTTCCTCAAACTATTTGTAGATTTCTCTGGCCTTGGTTATAACCAATGTGTGTTCTTTTCAATAAGATGAGAAGCACTGTTGTGGTGGAATTATCCAATCTGTTGAGTCTCGGAGTCCATGGTACTATACTTCATGTAACATGTGTAGGAAGAAGTGTTATACATGGAGGAATGGAAACTATTGGTGTCCAGATCATTGGGAAATCTCCGACCAGCATGTTACTATTGGGTATACACTATGTTGCCTTATTTAGTTGTTTGACTGCCTGCTTTGCTTTGAAAGAAAAGTGTCTGAGTGTGTTCCCTGTATTCTGTAGGTACAAGATTCAGTTGGCCTTGCGAGACTCAACGGGGGAGGCACCTTTTATAATTTTTGGGCCGACTGGTAATAATTTGGTGTTCACATCTGCCCACCTGCTTGCTCAGAGATATCCTCATAGAACTGGCCAGCTACCACTTGAGCTTAGGAATTTGATAGGCCAGTTTGTGATGTCTGAAGTCAAGCTTCCTATGATGAGTTCTAATGGAGTGTCCACTAGAGAGTTCAGGGTATTCCGAGTGCTTCCTCGGGATAATCAGGGTTTACTGCTCGCTTTTGTTGCTCCAGTACAAACAATTGCTGGTGGAACCCAGGGTCAGCTTGCTTTGCAGGGTACGCGTGAACAATGTGGAGTGCTTATGTTGACTGGACCAACTGAGTCATTTCCTGTGAGCAGTTCTATATCTACTCCAGCCAGGTTTGAACTTTTCTTATATGATTTTGTGGTCTCCTTACGATTGCCTCTTGTGGATGTATGAGTTAAGAATTCATAACTTATTGTTTTCTTGCCCTTTTCAGTTTGTCCAAGGGAAAAACAAAGGTTTCTGGACCACTGTTATTTGAGAACTGCAATCCAACTTTTCAGATTGGCCAGGCAGCAAGGCAGCCTCTCGGGTGATTTCTGGATTTTTTTCCTGTTTGTTTTCATTTTCTGAGAAGCTGCTGACAGATTTTGTGCCATTTTCCAGTCAGTATCAGAGTCTGTTGGTCATTAGAGAAGGTGCTGGTGTTGTGCCATTGGGACCTCAGTCTTTGCAACAGGCCCTTTCCAGCAGAACTTCTTCTGTTCCTGACAATGTTTGGGAGGTACCCAAACAGCCTACTGGATCTGCTGTTTCAGAAGCTCAAGGTAGTGTGAGGGTTTTTGGTGATCTGAAGATTCCTGAGATTAAACCATCTTTGCCACAAGGCAGCGTTGCTGATTTCATGGGTTTGTGTGAGCAACCGTCCTTGCCTTCATCAGGTGAAGCTGGGTAGGAGTTTGGAACTCCTCGGAGTAAGGTTAGTAAGAGATCATCTTCATCAAGTGCAATCAGGGAATAGTTTGGAACTCCTCAGAGTAAGATTAGCAAGACATCATCTACATCGACACCCTCTAAGGAGCCTGAAAGTGGAGGCTCTGATGGAGCAACTGAGAGTCTGATAACGATGTAATTGCACATATTTGCGCCCCTAGTTCTTATCCGTTTGAGGGGCATAGTCGTGTGTTTTGGCCTATTTTACGCCGGGTTGTGCTATTTTTTCATGTTTCAGGTCCCAGGCGTTAAAGGGAAGGCTAACCGCGAGTTTCGGGGCATTTGGAAGTCATTTCGGTGAGCTGGAGCCAAAACACGGGCAGCCCAAGGAATTACACGGGCGTGTACTGCTGGCCGTGCTTTTTATGCCGAGAGCAAATTCAGTTTGGCCAATTCAGCTGCAAACACGGGCACCGAAGCACGGCCGTGTTCAGTCAAAGCACGGCCGTGTACATTGCGAAGCACGGCCGTGTTTAACCCACTTGCTGGCCGTGTAATTAAGCCCTGGCCGAGGCACGGGCGGAGTCAGGCAAAGCACGGCCGTGCCCTCGACCGTGCTTTGGCCACTGATGCTTTTAAGCAGATTTTCAGCCACAATTCAAGGGGATTCGAGTTTTTGAGAGAGAGATCAGTTCCTAGAGAGAGAAAGTGACGAGCAAGAGTTCCCAAGTGCCCTAGATTGATCTTCAACACCATTGGAGGCCAGCTTGAGCTTGGAGAAGTGCCAATCAACGTCCAGAAGCAGGAATCCATCCTTCGCAGTATGAATTCCGTGTCTGATTCTGCTTTTGCTTTCTTCTCTATGGAGTAATTCTTCCATTCATCTGGGTATGGAGAACCCTAGATTTGTATGTTAGGCTTTGATTGTATGAACCCAAGTACTGATTCTGTGATTGATTATGTTCGATTGAGGTTTTAATGATTGAATGACTTGAATCCTGATCAAATTCCTGTTGTTTCTGCTTTAACCTAGAATGAGAATATCTGCCTAGGTTAATAGAGTATCCTTGATTGAAGGTAGGGAGTTGGTGACTTTAGTCGAGGAGCCAACTCACTATTCTGTACCGGATTTACTCCGGTAGTGGAGGTTTTGTTCTTAGGGCCTCAATCTGTCGACTCCGGTGGAGGTTAGTCGCCCGCTAGATAGTCAGATTGAGAGGGTCTGAAGACCTTTAGTCGAGACTTCAGGCTGTTTAAGAACCTTCCGCAGTATAACTGTCATAGAAACTGAATTTGGTAATTACAATCCGGCTTAACTGCAGTCTAGGGGGAACCATATCCGGGTGACCTCTTTAACCTGAATACAACCAGTTTACTTGCTTTGTTTGTTTGGTAGTTTAGACTTGCACTCCAGTTTTATTGCTAGATAACAAGAACTCACTGAGTAGTCATCACATCTAGGACCCGGGTTGATAATTAAACCTAAACCCGCTATACTACGCTTTAGGAAGTGGTTACACTTGGCCAATTCCTGGAGTGACAGTAGAGTCGAGTCAAGTTTTTGGCGCCGTTGCCGGCGACGGCTAGGTTGTTGAAGAAAAGTGATTTCTGTTAATTTAGCTTTTCTTTTTGCTTTGTTTGCTTTGTCCCACTTGTGCCTTCACGGGTGTGCTTGCTTGAGTGTGTGCAGGTAGTGCATGACCCGTAGCCAGTCGGGAGGTTTACTGCCGTTGAATCCAGAGATTGACCGCACCTGTCGCCAGCTCAGGAGACAACAACGAGCTAGACTGGCTACGGAAGAGCGCATAGATGGCCACCTGAGCAGCGATTCTGAAGAAGAGCACGGGATGGACGGAGACTACAACCAACACCAGGGGAATCCACAGCAGGTTCCCCCGGTGAATCAGGTCCTGGGGAACAACCCCATACCCCAGGACCATGGAGTTCATCATCCACCGCAGCCGGGTCCCACCTTGGAGTACTACTACACTCCTCGGATTGCTGACATCCGCCCGGTCATCCTCTACCCGCCGATCCCAGCAAACAACTTCGAGATCAAGCCATGCTGGATTCAGCTCATCACATCCTCGATCCAGTTTCATGGCTTGAAGAATGAGGAGGCCAGGGTACATCTGTCCCGTTTTCTGCAGCTGACAAACGGGTTCAAGCTGAACGGTGTTCCCGATGATGCGATCCGCCTTCATCTCTTCCCCCATTCTCTGGCGGGGAATGCTAAGAGGTGGTTGGAGACCCAGCCCCCATTGTCCATCACCTCTTGGGACGATCTGGCGGACAAGTTCGTGCACAGGTATTATCCGGCATCGAAGACTACAGAGATTCAGCGGGAGATCACTCACTTCCGCCAGGAGCCAGATGAGTCACTTCGTGATGCATGGGAGCGGTACATGGGATATTTCTGGCAGTGTCCCCATCATGGCTTCAGTGATGCATTCACAGTGGGGAACTTCTACAGTGCCCTCTCTCCAGATAGCCAGAGGGTGATTGAGTCTCTATGCCCAGGAGGGGATATCCTCACTAAGACTCCACCCGAGCTGAACCAGATGATTAATACATTGGCTGCCAGAGATCATTCCTGGGGGCAGAGCAGCAGAAGCAGACAGTCCCGGGATCGTGGTGTGCACGCCATGGAGACCAGATCCGGGCTCGAGCAGCAGGTAGCTGAGCTAGTGCAGACATTGAAGCAGCCCAACAGTCTTATTCCGGGCAGAGGTTTGGCTACACCTCCAGTTGCTCAGTGTCAGTGGTGTGAGAGCTCCAATCACCTAGTGGAGGACTGCCAGGCTATGAGGGAGTCTACCACACCCCAGGAGCAGTTGGCCTTCATCGCCAATGCGAGGCGCCTCGATCCATACAGCAGCACATATAATGAGGGGTGGCGCCATCATCCCAACTTCGCTTGGAGCAGCAACACCACTAAACCACCTGGTTTCCCAGCACCAGCAGGTGGTTTTCAGCAGAGGCAGCCCTTCCAGGCTCGCCAGGGGCCAGACCCACAGCAGCCCTACCAGTCTAGGCAGGGGCAGCCATTCCAGCAGCCCCAGCGCCAGTTTGCCGAGCCAGCAGCAGCTCCAGCCCCAGATGACAGGATGACGAAGCTGGAAAACATTCTAGCTTCATTCATGACGAGCACTCAGGCGACTATCACGAGGTTGGACCAGAGTGTAGCCTCACTGGAGGCAGGTCAGAGGAACCAGGGTGCCATTTTGCAGGATTTGCAGACCCAGGTGGGCATCTTGGCCCGCCAGAACACCACCAGGGCACCGGGGACTTTGCCTGCCACCACTGTCCCGAATCCTCGAGATCCTCATCAGCAGCTGGATGCCATTTTTACCAGGAGCGGTAAGACCATATCTGCTGATCCTGTCCCGGCCAGACAGGAGGAACCACTGACTGCTTCAGCACTTCCAGCCGACGATGCAGAAGTGCGGGTGGAGAAGGAAGCCCCTGCTCCCAAGCCACAACCAGTGGTTAAGGAGCATGTACCCCAGCTTCCCTTCCCCACTCGCCTACACAAAGACAAGCTGGAGACTGAGTTTGCCAAGTTCATGGCAATGTTGAAGCAGCTCAACATCGGCATACCGTTCATGGAGGCACTGTCAAAGATGCCCAAGTATGCCAAGTTCATGAAAGATATCTGCACCAACAAGAAGAAACTTCGGGATCTCTCGACAGTGATGCTGAGCGAGGAGTGTTCTGCTATCCTGCAGAACAAGCTGCCCGAGAAGCGCAAGGATCCAGGGAGTTTTACTATCCCTCTTACTATTGGCAGCATGCATGTAGGCAAATCCTTGGCGGACCTAGGCGCTAGCATTAACGTCATGCCATATAAGTTGTATAAAATGCTAGACCTAGGTGAACTTAGCCCTACTAGGATGAGCATTCAATTAGCTGATCGTTCTATTGTGCATCCTAAGGGTATCATTGAGGATCTGCTTGTTAAAGTAGGTACATTCACATATCCTGTTGATTTTGTTATTCTTGATGTGCATGAGGATGTGGATGTACCTTTGATTCTAGGTAGGCCATTTCTTGCCACCGCCAAGGCACTAATTGATGTGCATGATGGTAAGTTGATCTTGCGTGCTGGGGATGAACAGGCTACTTTTTCTGTGACTGAGTTTGATCACTGTGCTATGATTGCTGTCACGCCTGTGCATGCTATGTCTGATCAGGTACACGAGTCTGTCGTGTACCCTTCTGCACCTCCTATTTTACAGGACCCTCCTATCATTCCTTCGCCGCCACTCCATCCAGCCACGCCTCCGAACAAAAAGCTCAAGGAGGAGTGGCGGCCGAAGCAGCAGGTTGCTAAGCCTGCACGCAAGAAGAGTGGAGACCACTATGAGCTGGTCCCACCTCCTGCACCACGACCACCCTGGCCATCCGGGTACTCACTCGCCTGCATCTTGCCAGATGGACAGGTCGAGCTGACTGATGATAGTGGTCGCATCCGTCGGGTGCATGGTCACAACCTGAAGCTGTACCTCAAGAGCGAAGTGGATTCGCTCTTGGAGGCACCTGTTCCTGCACCGCCCTGAGTATCCACCATGGGCGTCCAGCTAAAAGACGGTAAAGAAGCGCTTGTGGGGAGGCAACCCCACCATGGTTTGATTTTCTTTCTTGTGTTTTGAGTCGGATTGTAACCCGGTTTGGGTTTGGTTTGTTTTCTTTTGGTTTGGATGATATTTTATTGGGCTGACCATTGAACCTAACATATTGTGTCTGAGCTCTTCTGTTTCCCTTCGGCTGTGCTTGCCCCGACTGGCCCGTTTCCAGTCCCCTGCAGTCCGTGCATACCGGTAACATCGTTCCCCTTTTCCTTCCCTCTTCTCCATTGAGGGCAATGTCGATCTTAAGTGTGGGGGGGGGGGTGTTTATCTTTTGACTGCATTAGATCTGTTTATGTGCTTGGAGGTGTTTATCTTTTGACTGCATTAGATCTGTTTGTGTGCTTGGAGCCTAGTCCAGTCCACTGTCCAAATTTTTAAATTTGAGGGCTCCAAGTACGTGTTTCCTTGCAATTGCCTGCTCAGTATGCTTTGAATTGACAGTCTTTATAGTAATATGCAACCTAGGGAGGTAGTGTAGCACTATGGAGGATGTTGATGCATTTAAGGAGTCTCATTTCTTCTTCATATTGAGTTGGTTGATTGAGTGAATTAGTGATCTTAGGACCCTTGAATTGTGTGGTGTTTTGGATTCTCTGCCTGTCATGGACTCTTGTATCATGTTTTGAAAATAACAGGTGCTCGAAAATGTGCTTCAAAATAACGTCTCCCGTGCGAATAGGGCGAAAGTGTGTAAGGGGAGACGGGAATCCGTTCCCAATTTTCACCTACTACCTCCAACCCCCTTACATGTCTTTCCCCCGCACGAGGCTCGAGACATCCGCTCCTGGCATGGCCGGTAAGAGCAGGTTGGGACCCTTGGAAAAAAAAGAAAAGAAAAATAACAGAAAACAAGCAAAACAGAAAAAAAGGGGTTCCAACCATCTTCAAAGAAAATCGAGCACCTTGAAAAATGTGAGTCCATGATCCTTTGTTTTTGAGAATCTCTCCATCCACGATTCATTTGTCCTCTGTTCACTTTCTGCCATGATGCCGACTCGATAAGAAGCTTTGAGATGACTTGTGCGTCGGTTGACCTCGTAAGCTGCTAAATGACCTAGGAAGTCCTCTACTCACGATCTGGGTTGTTTGTTGCGATGAAGGTCTGGAGAGTTGCATTGGTTTGAGTTAGTTTTGCTTGAGGACAAGCAAACGGTTAAGTGTGGGGAAATTTGATAACGATGTAATTGCACATATTTGCGCCCTTAGTTCTTATCCGTTTGAGGGGCATAGTCGTGTGTTTTGGCCTATTTTACGCCGGGTTGTGCTATTTTGTCATGTTTCAGGTCCCAGGCGTTAAAGGGAAGGCTAACCGCGAGTTTCGGGGCATTTGGAAGTCATTTCGGTGAGCTGGAGCCAAAACACGGGCAGCCCAAGGAATTACACGGCCGTGTACTGCTGGCCGTGCTTTTTATGCCAAGAGCAAATTCAGTTTGGCCAATTCAGCTGCAAACACGGGCACCGAAGCACGGCCGTGTTCAGTCAAAGCACGGCCGTGTACATTGCGAAGCACGGCCGTGTTTAACCCACTTGCTGGCCGTGTAATTAAGCCCTGGCCGAGGCACGGGCGGAGTCAGGCAAAGCACGGCCGTGCCCTCGACCGTGCTTTGGCCACTGATGCTTTTAAGCAGATTTTCAGCCACAATTCAAGGGGATTCAAGTTTTTGAGAGAGAGATCAGTTCCTAGAGAGAGAAAGTGACGAGCAAGAGTTCCCAAGTGCCCTAGATTGATCTTCAACACCATTGGAGGCCAGCTTGAGCTTGGAGAAGTGCCAATCAACGTCCAGAAGCAGGAATCCATCCTTCGCAGTATGAATTCCGTGTCTGATTCTGCTTTTGCTTTCTTCTCTATGGAGTAGTTCTTCCATTCATCTGGGTATGGAGAACCCTAGATTTTTATGTTAGGCTTTGATTGTATGAACCCAAGTACTGATTCTGTGATTGATTATGTTCGATTGAGGTTTTAATGATTGAATGACTTGAATCCTGATCAAATTCCTGTTGTTTCTACTTTAACCTAGAATGAGAATATCTGCCTAGGTTAATAGAGTATCCTTGATTGAAGGTAGGGAGTTGGTGACTTTAGTCGAGGAGCCAACTCACTATTCTGTACCGGATTTACTCCGGTAGTGGAGGTTTTGTTCTTAGGGCCTCAATCTGTCGACTCCGGTGGAGGTTAGTCGCCCGCTAGAGAGTCAGATTGAGAGGGTCTGAAGACCTTTAGTCGAGACTTCAGGCTGTTTAAGAACCTTCCGCAGTATAACTATCATAGAAACTGAACTTGGTAATTACAATCCGGCTTAACTGCAGTCTAGGGGGAACCATATCCGGGTGACCTCTTTAACCTGAATACAACCAGTTTACTTGCTTTGTTTGTTTGGTAGTTTAGACTTGCACTCCAGTTTTATTGCTAGATAACAAGAACTCACTGAGTAGTCATCACATCTAGGACCCGGGTTGATAATTAAACCTAAACCCGCTATACTACGCTTTAGGAAGTGGTTACACTTGGCCAATTCCTGGAGTGACAGTAGAGTCGAGTCAGAGTCATATTCCATTTTCACTTGCAAACATTGCTTCACCACAAGCATCTGTCAAGAAATCCTCAGCTAAGCGTCTCCTGTACGACAAATAAGGTATTGGGTGTGCTTATGTCATTGCAAGGGGGAAAACATTGTTCTATCATGGAATCCCATCTCAGGTTTCAGGTTTTGGTTTCTGATGATCCAAGTTTATATGCCTTTATTACTTTGGAGGATGACGTTTGGAGCTCAGGGGAGTTGTTTCCTGGTACTTGAAAGTTGGTTTTTGAAGATATCGCAGGCTCTTTGGGGGACACTTGGGATATTGGAAGTTCTCAGGGTGTTGTATTTGGATGGCTTCTGCATGGAACTTTGGGGAACTTCTTTAATGGACATTTGTCTTCCCAATCCTTTTGGTATATTTGATGTATCAGTTAACTGAAATAGACTGTTGTTTTGTGAATATTCTGTGCAGCTCCCTTGCAGCTTATTAGTGTGTAGGTTGTAACTATTTGGCTTCTGGTTTGGGAAATCTGTTTATGTAAGACATCTGTTAGTCTCTTCTGGTAATACTTACAAGTAGTACCAGAGTGTAATGATGTATGAATCTGGATATCAGTTAAGTATCGGTTAAGCTATCTCTGTTGTGTTATGTTCTTTGTCCTTCAGTTTTAAATATCAGTTTTAGATTAGATGTGTGCAATGCTTAGGTTCATCAACAGATGATCCACAATGGAATTTGTTTGTGCAGTATATGAGTCTAATATTCTTACCATATGTTCCATTATAAAAGTATTTTGTGCTTGTATCTTTTTATCAAATGCACCACCTGATAAATCGAGTACAAACAATGAAAATGACCAATTAATCCTTTTTTAATCACTAATCATAGATACAAATATATCTCTATCAGACTAACAAGCCATCATTACTTTCATAAGCATGTGTTTATGCCGCCAATTGAGTATAACTGACACCCATCAAATTTCAATTAATGTTGTGTACCAAACAAATTTATAATGATGACATAGGGACAAAAAAAAGAGTTTAATAAGACCAAAAGTTTAGAGCAACCATTAATTCTGAAACAGCGCTTCTCCTGCTCAAATCTTTGTTGTTTACAGTTTTCTCTCCTCACTGCCATCAGTACAACAGAGCTTCTACAGAGAACCAATTAAGCTTGGCATATTCGTATGTCATGTTGCAAAACTCAGAGGCTCACCAATCATGTGAGTTATTTTGGGGTTCATTCTTTCATTCTTAAATTCGTCTATATGTCATTCATTAGTATGTCAACCTTTTATTCATTGTGCAGCCTTGCAGAACATTCATTCTCCACCATTATTTTGCATTTAAGTTTCCATGCAATGAAAACTTCAATGATGTTTTGTCTTCTGCTCCATTAATGCAGCATGATCCCAAGAAAGAAGCAAACAACTAACAAGGTGTTGAAACGAAAGTGGAATGATGATTCTCTAAGTTCTGGACTCGCTGATGATACACCATCTGCTTTTACACCAGTTTTCATAGACAACACAAGAATTAATAAGAAATCACGCCAACTTCCTTTTATACTCTCAGCTGAAGATACAGACCTCTCATGAAATAATGGCAGGACTGCAGCTCCTTGGGACCCTTACGCAACGCACATGGAAGGTCAAACTTCAAGACAATTCTTCAGAGAGACAATCTGGCCTTGCCAACAAAAAGGTTAGTACTGCAAGAAGGCCATTGCATAATGATATACTTGATGTGGGAAAACCAGAATGTGTTTGTCGGTTCTGTGGGGCATTTTTCTGGTATTATGAGCGATTAGATCGTCACATAATGACAATTACTCCAGTGTATATATCTTTGAACCAGATAGTGAGATCGACAATAGATTGGCAAACTTTGCAACTCGAGAAGAAGTGTTGTTGCCTGAGTTGCTGACATCTTTACTCAGGATGCTTGATGAAACTAATGAATTGGTGAAGACATTGAGGAGCATCCGACAGAATCTACAGTTGTCTTTAACACCAAATCTACGCCTTTGAATATTTGGAAGAAAAGATAGAAATCAATAGTATGACCTTCCAACAAGCAGTGTTGTTGCAGCCTTGATACCAGGAGATTTTGTTCCCGATAGGGAGGACAGAGATATCATTTTAGATTATCAAAATGGAGGACTGAAGCGTATAACGAGTTTGAATCCAAAATTTGAGGTGCTGCACTTTCCATTATTATTTCCTTATGGAGAGGATGGTTTTCACCCCCAAATTTCATATAACAATTCCTTTTGTCCTCCATCAATGCGTAGGAAGTTTGTTACGCAAAGGGAATACTATGCTTTTAGGCTTCAGTATCGTTCGGATGAGGGACATACATTGGTCAAAAGTGGTAAAGGGCTGCAGCACTACTATGTTGATGCATTTTCAACAATTGAACTCAATCGATTGGCATTCCTCAGAACCCATCAAAAGGACCTAAGGTCTGAAGTGTATCAAGGTTTGGAAGATGCATTTGCTAGAGGAGACATGGACGTTGAAAAACTTGGTTGTATCATTATACCTTCTTCATACACCGGAGGACCTAGATATATGCAGCAACTTTATCATGATGCCATGGCAACCTGTCAGCACTATGGAAATCCTGATTTGTTCATTACATTCACGTGTAATGCACTTTAGGGAGAAATCGTTGATGCTTTTGCAGCTATGGAGGGTTTGAACAGCGAGTTGAAGCCAATGGTCGTTTGTCGGGTCTTTCATATAAAACTCAGCATGCTCATTGATGAATTCAAACGAGAATCGTACTTCGACAAGACAATAGCAAGTAAGTCCCTCTTATACCCATAAATTTCACAACTAAGATTCAAGTGTTTTTTTTACTTGCTTTTATGTTATACATATTATGCTGATAAGCACCATATTTCTTTCCAACAGTCATTTATATAAGAAGTGTGTTGGTATGTGCTGATAGAACCATATTAGTTCAACCGTTACTTTATAGTGAGTGGCTGCTACTTAGACCATAGAATGCACAAATGGCCATGATAGTTCTTTGTAAGCTTGCATTTAGTGATACAAAGTACTAATGGATAACCGAATTCTTCTCCTCCAGTTATTTACACTGTCGAATTTCAAAAAAGAGGGCTCCCGCATGTACACATGCTGATATGGTTGGAAAAAGAGGATAAATTCAAAACAACATGTGACATTGATGAGATTATTTAAGCAGAGATTCCAGATCCTCATATAGATCCAGAAGGACATGCAGCTTTGATAAAGTTCATGCTTCATGGACCATGTGGGATTGACAACCCTAAATCTCCTTGCATGAAAAATGGGAAGTGTTCAAAGTTCTTCCCAAAAGCATTCATCTCTGAAACTTCTTTTGATAAGTTTGGAAATGTAGTGTATCGACGTAGAGATTCTGGAGTTCAAGTGAAAAAGGAAAAACTATGTTGGATAATAGATACGTCGTTCCATACAACAGGAACTTGCTGGTTAGAGCTCAAGCTCACATTAATGTCGAGATATGTCATAAAGGAGGATTGGTGAAATTCTTATTTAAGTATATCACTAAAGGACCAGATAGATCCCTCATAATTGCTGAAGATTCAGCAACTTCAAAAAAAGTTCCCTCCACAAATTCAAAGAAATCAAAAGATGAGATACAAGAATTCATTGATTGTCAATCCTTATCCTCTTATGAAGCAGTGCGGAGAATCAATGAATATCCTATTCATCATAGAGAACCAAACGTTGTCCGCCTTGCTGTACACTTGCAAGGACAGCAGAATGTTCCTTACAGGAGGCAGTCAAATGTCAAGAACATTCTAAAAAATCCCTGATGCTAGAAAGTTAACATATGCTCATATATCAGGTTCATACATGTGGAATGAAGAATACAATGAGTGGACCTTGAGGAAAAGAGGATTTGCCATTGGAAGAATTGCTTATGTTCCTCCAGGAAGTAGTGATGTCTTTTTCCTAAGACTATTATTGACAAAGGTGCAAGGAGCAACAAGCTTTAGCGACTTACGGACTGTTCGAGGAGAAATCTGCAGTACTTATGAAAAAGTATGTGAAAAATTAGGTCTCTTATATGATTCTTCAGAATGGATAAAGGTTTTCCAGGAAATACCGACTTCAAGCATGCCAAATCTGATAAGGAGCACCTTCATTTCAATGCCCATGTTTTGTGAGATACCTAATCCAAGTGCTTTATTTGAGTCATCTTGGAAACTGATGGGTGAAGATCATGTGTATTATCTTCGATAGCAGCTTCATTCAACCACATATCAGCCCACAGAGGAGAGACTGCGAAATTGGGTGCTTCATCAACTAGAAACCTAATTGGAATTTTATGGTTCCTCCCTAGAAAAATTCCACCTCCCTAAACCAACAGATTCTGAACCTAATGGTGGATCGAATCCCCTGATAAACCAACATTTAAACTTCGACATTGGTCAGGAACAACAGGCTGCCGAAGAAATGCTTTGCTCTCTCAATGCAAATCAATTTGAAGCTTTCTCAGCTGTAATGCCTCATTCAAAAACAATCTTGGGAGGTCATTTTTCTTATATGGCCACGAAGGAACATGCAAGACATTCCTGTACAATGCCATAATCACAAAGCTCAAAAGTTTGTCCAAAATAGTGATTGTTGTTGCTTCCTCTAGAATTGCACCAACACTACTTCCAAATGGTAAAACTGCTCATTCCATATTCAAGATCCCACTTCACTTTGACAACACATCCACGTGTTCTATAAAAAAGGAAACACATTTGGCTGAACTAATATGCGAGGCTTCATTAATTGTTTGGGATGAAGCGCCAATGACACATCGACATGCATTAAAGGCAATTAGCAGAACATTATGTAATTTGATTAACGTTCCTCTATCAGGAATAGGACATAAGCTATTTGTAACGACCCGATCCTTTTTGAAAATCAAACCATAACTCAACCACAAACCGGTTACTCCGGAGCAACCCAAAACAAGTTTACAAGTCAAAACCAAAAATCAACAACAACAATGTTTAAGAATCTCAAGTAAAATGCCCTAAACACTTGGGCGACCTCAATCCAGATCAACAAAACATAAATACAATCCTTGAGTTTCCGGGTATACTCATTAAGACACGAAATTAAAGACAAATATAATGGGAGGTCCCATCTTGTTACCCATATCCAGTTGACATCTTCAGGTTTGTCGCGGCTGCTCTCCTCAGGTAACCTCCTCTTGATGGATGCGTCCTCTTCCCCTCTCTGCACCTGGTGAGTGAGAAGGGGTCATCTCGTTACCCAGATCAAGTTGACATCTTCAGGTTTGCCGCGGATACTCTCTTCGGTTAACCTCCTCTTGATGGATGCGTCCTCTTTCCCTCTATGCACATGGTGAGTGAGAAGGGGTCAGTCTCGTCGTTACTTCGTAAGGTCTTCGCCCTAAGAAACTCCCTACTAAACACATTATTCAGGTTCTTGACTTAGACAAAAGTGTTCTCACTTTCATCCTTTATACTTTGTTATCAAACAGTCTATAAGAGATCTCTACTCCTATCTTATCTTTAGAATGTCCTTACTTATATTCTTAATCCATAGACACCAACACTAGGGACCACCGCGTTACGTCTCGCCGTCCGGTGTCCATACCCTAGTATGCCAATCGCATTACATCTCACCGTCCGGTTGCATACCCAAGCTCGGCAATGGCACTGCATTACGTCTCGCCGTCCAGTCCATGCCCGATCAACTACTGCGTTATGTCTCGCCGTTCAGTAGTGACCCCAACGTACTCGATCAACTGTTGCATTACATCTCGCCGTCCAGTAGTGACCCGACCATCTACCACGTCCAGTAGTGGCCCAACCACCCGGGGGTTCATCTTGCTAATAATCAACTATTACAATCATACATTCATACATAGCACAACGCGTGCCTACATCCTTACCGGCGGTGAGATGCCTCACACATATATCGCGCATTACTCAAAAATTAACTAATTAATAACTTGAACAAAAAATATAAACTAAAATACTTGCGAAAGAGATTTTACCCCCTTTACACTCATCTCGAAAAGATGACTCCCCGATTCCTTCCTTGAAGAAATCCCTCCTTAGCCGGATTACCTTGGGGAAACCTATTAATAAGAATCCATTTTCTTATACAACCTTTCTCGATTTAAAAGCCCTTTTGAATAACTAGAACATCCTCTCCTCAAAATCCAGCCCTCGAGCCTCGCTCCAAAGGTTCCTTAATCCTCTTTAAAAAATTTCTAGAAATAATCTTTTAAGAATCGACCATTTTTCCTAATTATTTTTGTCTAGGACGAATTTTTCACCTAACTTGAACCTTCTTAAAAATTAGGATAATCATTTTCCCATGTCAATCATGAGAAAAAATACCATGAAAAGTATCAAACCTCTGAAAATCCTCGGCAAGATTTTTATTTAATTAAAATCAACATTAACACATTCTCAAAATATAGTAATACATCCTAAAAATCCCCAAATTAAATTAAATCTATCTCCTAGACGTCCCTCAATTTATAAAATGGCTAAACCCAGAAACCAGCACTGACAGAGGCTCGAAAAAATTAAAAACATTTAAAATACGTTTCTCAAGATTCCTAGCAGCTTTAGTGACCACCAAGAATTGGTCACTAAAAGCCTGTAAAGTTTGTTGCTAAAAACCCAGAATTGCACCCTCACGAAAAATCACTCGATCGATCGATCTAACTCAAATGGATCGAGTTCCCTTACCTTTAGAACGTGCCTAGGACTAGATTGGATGACCCGGGATGTTGATCTATAATCAAACCCTCAAACCTCGCCACAATTGCTATAGAACAAAAACAAATACGAGTTTCGGATTAGATTATTGATAATTAAGTTTGGAATCGCGAAAGAATTCGTGATCCTTACCTAGAACACGAAAGGGATGAGATCGGGTTCGGGAACAGGGAGTGGCTGTAGCGAACTTCTTCTTCTCGCCTCGTGATGTGGACAAGGCAAAGGCGGCGACTGGGGAAAGAAATCAAAGGAGGGGGTTTGCTGGGGAGTCTTCTGGATGGGGTGGGGACAAATAAAATGGATGTGAGGTTTTGGGTGGATGCAGGCCGCTTGGCCCTCTTGGCCGAGTAGGTTTAGTTGATTTCTTATTTTATTTGATAACTATAATATAATAATAATAATTATTATTATTATTCCTAATTTGCGATAGAAAATCTTAGTACGTATTTGTTAATCCAACCGTTAACATATTAAGGTCGAATTTAAACTCAGAGGTCGGAGTGTTACATTTCTTCCACCCTTACAAAAATTTTGTCCCCGAAATTTGGAACTGGAAAGATAATTACTTGGTCTTAAACTTTTAGTGTGCGACTAAAACTTCTGAAGGTGGGATATAACATTTCCCTCCCCCTTAATAAAATTTTGACCTCAAAATTTTGGTTCGAACTAATTTAATAGGTTTGGTACCGAGTACTAAAACTGAAAGATCGTCTTTCGAAGAAAAAAAACAACTAACGGTCTATACTTAAAACAAATACTTCCTCCCCCCGTCTCCCCATTTGCTCCACATCACTATGTTTGATCGTCCCCTCCATCGACATCACGGTCACCCTCTATCCTCGCATGGCAAATACCCTCGGTTGTCCCCCTGCTAGAGGCCCCTGGTCTCTATCCCGATCAGTGTGGTCGAATCGCCCGGTGCGTCCTCCCAGGCTCTGGAAGGAGCGGTTTGGCTGGCCACCAAACCGTGGTCCTGCGTGAGTCCTTGCTACACCACCCCGGATAGACTGCTCGGACTGAGCCATCCCTTGCACGCCTCTCCAGGGGCATTCTTTGGCGAAATGCACAGGCTCCTTACAGTTATAGTAGACCTTGGGGGCTTCCTACACTCCTTTGAGTGATCCCGCCCACACTGGTTGCAAAGACCTCTGTTGTTGAAAGTTTGACCAGGCCGGACCGAGCCGGTCTGACTCCGAGTACCCCCAAAGCTACTGGTATCGCTCGGCCTCCTTCTGTACTGACTGGGCTGGCCGGACCACTCTAGCATGCTACTTGCATTTCTCAGGCTTCCCTCTCGTAGTATCCCTTCTTCATGCACGGCTGTGTCAACCCTCTCTATCCGAAGAGCCGCCTGATAAATATCATCCCGACTGTTCCACACTAGCATGCTCAACTGAGGGCAGGCTTCAGGCTCTCCAAATAGTGGGCATGTTGAGATGCCGCATCCTGGAACTGGGGTCCCCCGTAGGGCAGCAGCTTCTCGAATATAGAGGTGTACTCTGCAGCACCCTCCTCTCCTTCATTGCCCCATCCCTGCTTGATCAACAAAAATTCCCTCTTTTGCTCAGTCGGTAAGCCTCTGGTACATAGTGGTCACGAAACACCAGCACCAGCTCTGGCCAAGTGATAGTTGGTGGACCCTCCTGACTGGCTAGCTGGGTGCACCACCAATTGTATGTTGTATCCTTGAGCAGGGATACTGTCAGTAGCACCCTGTCCTCATCATCTGCCCTCATTCCATTCAATGTGCGCGAGACCTTCGCCAACCATTTCCCTACTTCACTAGCATCCTTCGAGCGGTCCCCATCAAAATCAACAACTCCTCACCTCCGGAAAGCCTCATAATTCGGGGGTTGCCTAGCTACCGCGTAGTTAACATCGATGTTACTTGCTCTGTAAGTAAGTAGTACCCTTATTAGAACCACATTTATTTTTCTTATCATGCTTTAGTATACTGGGGACTCTATACACCCTTTCTAATCGGTTGGCCAACCATTTTTCTTGAAATTTCCTTTTTCCTTTAAAACTAAACCTTTGAAAACCCAGATCGTCACTCCAGTATTCCTTTGAAATCCCACATCGACAAAGCACGGGAGAGATCCATGGTTCATAAGTAGGAAACCGGCCTTAACTGACAAGACGCGTTTTGGGGTGTAATAGAGGAATTTTTGTGAGAACTCCGAAGTTAAACGTGCTCAGTGTGGTGTACAACAAGGATGGGTGACCTTATGGGAAGTCACCTTGAATTGCACCTCAAGTTGAAAACCGTGAGGGTTGAGGCCCAAAGCAGACAATATCTTCGTCGGGAAAAGGTTCAAGATGTTATAATATTTGGGGGCAAAACAATTATTTTAGGTTGAGATTCCAGACAAACTTTACCAGTCATTACAGATTCAGGAAGAGAACAGACATTTGATGAATCAATCACAAGATCTCCATTGTGGAATTCTTTTCAGATGCTAACACTTTCGAAGAATATGATACTCAATGATTCACAAGAAAACAATGTGATAGTAGGTTGTGGCCTTAAATTTGGAGAATGGGTTCTCGCTCTTGGAGATGAAAAGTTCCCTACAAAGTCTCTTAATTCGAACACTCCTTCAGACTGGATTGAAATACCAGAAATGTTTCTGGTGATTCCTAGAACAAATCCACTTCAATCAATAACAGAAGAAATATACGACTCATTTGCAGAATGCTATAAAGACACGAGGAACCTCGGAGGTAGAGCGATTGTGACTCCAACAAATGCCATTGTCACTGAAATCAACGATTACATGCTGCACCAGTTGCCAGGACCAAGCCATTGCTACTACAGTTCAGATTCCATGCACCTGGATACAGAGGTTCCTGAATCATTTAATGAAACTTATCCCACTGAGTTTCTAAATACTTTATCACTCAATGGTGTGCCAGATCACGAGATAAGACTGAAAGTTAACACTCCAATAATGTTGCTCAAAAATCTAAGCCCCCCAAGTGGATTATGCAATGGAACAAGATTGATGATAACATCATTAGGTGAGAATACCATCATAGGAAATATCATGGGAGGATCCTTTGATGGAAAACCTGTGGCAATATCACGAATTGTGCTCAATATTGAGGAAAGAAAATGGACATTCATCTCAAGAGACCTCAATTTCCAGTACGATTATGTTATGGAATGAACATAAACAAAAGCCAGGGCCAAACCCTGGACAAAGTTGGAATTTATCTGCCAAATCCAGTATTCAGTCATGGCCAACTGTATGTGGCCGTATCCAGAGTCAGATCTGCAGCTGGGCTGAGGTTTCTGATAACAAATGAGGAGGATGTTCCAGGAAATCACACAAGAAACATTGTGTTCTCCGAAGCATTCACGGATATCACAACAAACTAAGTTCCCCGTCCAAGATTATGAAGGTACGCATTAGAATTTGTTCAGATACATTTCATGTTATACACAGAAATAAGTTATGAATTTGCCCTTCGAGATACAACTATGCATACTTATAAGTCACATTTCACAACAATGCAGGAGTCATGTGGAACACAAACGCTCTTTTTTGAAACATGAAGAAGCCACCTTTCTCCCTATGAATTTGATAACCTAAAAATGCAAGCTAGAGGTACTGTTAGCGTTTTGAAATCTTGGAAAGTACTTCGTGTTCTTCAAGTTCTTCCAAAGTTAGACAATATAATTTTTTATAAGGCTTCTTTTATCGAAGCTGTGAAAACAACAAACAGTTAAGTTGTTGGTGACCAAACGACGACAAACTTATGGATGTTTTGCTTACCAACAATTTTTGTTATTAAAAGCTCAAAGCCCAGAAATCATTGGGCCACAAATGGGAATAGCCCTCCCCTGCCAAATAAAAATGCCGGTCCACATAAAAGATTTGGCCCAATTTCAGAACATCCACCGACCATCTTAAACCCTACGCTGCCCTACAATGGGAGATTCTATTTCCAAAAGTAGATCAGATACACCTCTGGAGATCATTCCGCGAACCAACAGACAAACAATAAACGAGGGTAAATCGTCTTCTCCTTCTACCTCCACTCCACAGAATTTACAGTCGAAAAAGACTGCTCATAAATTAGATTCTACAACACACAGGGACCCTACCACCATGGATGTTTTGCACCAAACACAAAAGACCACACGAGACGATTGCATGGTCCCCACCAACACCCAAGGTAAACACATTCCATTTCAATTGGTGTTCCTTTCACACTTCTGGAAAAGTCTACAAAATCTGCAATTTATGTTTGTATGTTTCTTTTGGTCTTTATCGTAATTTCAGAAATCCTCGAATCGTTAGTTACTTTTCGAGGGATACATTTGGGAGTCAACCACCGCAGTGTCGTCGCTCACCTCATAAACACATGGTTTGAGTTTCGAGAGGCATACTTCTGGAAAAAAAAGGACACTGCACATGCTTTGGCTGGATAAAAAAGTCAGTACAACTTTTTTACCTTCTGAATAGATGAGAGATAACAAGGACCTTTAATAAATTATACATATTTACATTATTAAACAATAACACCCTATGCGTTGTGTTTCGCTTGAGATCCATGTAATTGTTTTAAATAGTTAGCTACCATGACACAAGTTTTGACACTATGCCAGAAATGAATGTTTAATCTTGCAGAAACAAATAATAGAGTGCTATGTGGAAGAGGAGGATATCGAAGCAGTTTATGGCAAAATTCTATTAGGCAACCTGTATCGACTTGATAACATTGTAGCTGTCCCAGCAAAAAGAAAGGGCAGAGTAGTTCCAAGAGAGTTACAACTGATCATGAAGGGTAATCAGCTCATCTCCCACATTGAGGAAGACGAGGACAATCCAGAAGATCCAATAGACTTATTTCCTGGAGCCTTCTTTTCAATGGTGCCAATGCAAAAAGATACCTCTGACTGCCATGGAGGTAACATTTCATGATTTGGTTTTACAAAAGCATATCGATGATGTGAATGCATTAACAAATGCCATTATCACAGACATTACAGGTTGTGTCCGACGAGTCATAGTTCCATAAACTATTAGAGCACCCTTAAGGAATTCATCATGATCATACAAGATGTGAGGTATGTTGAGCAAGTTTATTGCAGTTAAGACCTATCTAATCATATGCAAGTGAATTTATATATCCCTGAAATCAGTGGTGCAAAGGCTATTGTTCATTACCGGGGTTGGGACATCATCGACTACCTAAAGAAAGCACCAACAGCTGAGTCACCCCTTCCTCTAATCACAACAATTACCAATGTCATGAGATTACCTCCTGCAGCAGGCCAAAAGTGTCAATATCAATTTGTATCAACAGCAGCCAGTCACCTGATCATAAAATCATACAAAGATGCCTCCAAGAAAATCATGAACATGTACATATATTTGTTTGATATTTTAAATGTCATCTTTCAAAAATGCAAAAAAAAAACATTGCTAACAAATTTCTTTCTGTCCAAATGCAGATTCCTTGCAAGCCACAAACAAGTGACTCACTTCAATGCTACCACCAAGGAAAAGATCGGCTACCTGCGTTCTGAATGACCTCCAAAGAAAACTTTGGGTGAGATCAGAGCAAAACTTGGTTCTCACCCAAGTTCCCAAAAGGTACGTTCATAACTTAAGGCCCTCCATAGATCAAATAAAACAAAATCTAGGTCTATTACCCATTCATACTTGACAAACACAATTTTTTTACAGATCCTTTATCGTTGCAAGTTTACTATCCCACAAGTCGTGTACCGAATGAGCATCTGCAGGTCCACCCAGGAAAAGCCAGAGTGAGTTCCAGCAACACTTGTACATACCTTTACTTTCCCTCACGATACTTTTTCAACATGACTAACACCCTTTTTTTTCTAATCGCAAGACTCCGTTATGAAATTCAAGCAAAGTTCTGTGATGGTACAGGCGAAGTAGATGTCATACTTGATCATGAGGAGGCTCTATGTATAAGCTGCTATGCTTCTCCACCAAGTTATTTAATGATCCCCTAGGATATTTTGCAGCTTGAGGAAGGCAAGCACTGTGTAATCCATTGGTGGATGATATATGACAATTTTTGAAATTTTTGTGGGATGAGTATGAACTCCTGATGTACATACTATGTCAACATGAACGACTATCAAACATCGTATCGTAGAACCTCAATAGAATCGACCATGGAAGATCAAAATACAATAACTTAATTGTTCCACCCATCAGAACTGGCAAAAAAAAAAGTTATCATTATAACGTTTCATTTATATATCTTTTTGCTTATCCTTCCCACTTCTCCACTTTTAATACCTCTTAATATTCATGATGGAAGAGCAAGTCAGTATTAAAAATGGGATTTCCAATATGGTCGGGTAAAACATCCTATAGCATTAGAATTTTGTCAGTTGGTCTCTTGAAATTTTCAACTCCAAACTATATCAGCTAAGTTCTCACGACTTATAAATATGTTTAGTGTGGTTAATTTTATTTTTATATGTATAAATTGATTTTTCCAGAATTATAGTTGAGACACGAGGCAAGTCGCCATAGGTGATTACCGTTTGACAGTATCCTATTGAAGTTATGGAAAAACTCGAGATTTCTAGAGGCTTATTCGTGGTTTTGGAGAACCCAACTGAAGCCAAGCTAGTTTGCTGCATTCAGTAACAGGCTTTGGAAAAAGCTGTGCCAATTTGGACAATAACAAGAGCATGTCTCATTTCCACAAAATATTGATGTCACACGCAGTAACAGAATCACTACACTTGGTTAGGAATTTCACTACTTGGTACAAGCTAAAGCCTAGGTAGTTGGAAAAGGAATTCTCAGACTTCACTAAATTATCTACACATATATTAACAGGTTACACAGCTGCAATTCAAAGAGGTTTAAGCCGACTCTCATAAAAGCCATTGGAAAGACTTCTCTTCAAGGACATTAAACAGGAGCCGAGGAGTTCTTCAGCTTAGGGACTCTGAAGGAAGAAGTGAACAGTTTCGGTGGCGATTCCATGATGATAACAGCATCATCACCATTTCCCTTTCTCTTTGACCTTCTACTACCCTGATCAAAAGCAAAAGAGAAAGGATTTAGCCAAGTTTATTTATACCAAGTTCATGAAGCACAAAATGATTGGTTCTTTAGCATGCATATACCTTCCCATTCGGTCTCACATTCTCAGCAGTTGACTCTTTCTTTACAGTTTTAACAGCCATCCCCTTGCAGCTTCTCAAAACAGGAGTAACAACAGCTTGAGACTTCTTCTTCAAATCTTCTAACTCTTGGGATAACTGGGATGCTCGAGCTTCCAGCTTCCCGATGACCTCATCCTTCTCAGTGTTTGAAGATTGGAGCTTTGCAATGGTCACATCCTTCTCAATGTTGGAAGATCGGAGCTGCTCAACCGTGGTGTGAACTTGAGCAAACTTATCGTTAGCTTGATCAACTTCTGCTTGCTTCTTCTTCAGCTTTTTGGTCAGCTTGCTTTCCAACATGTTGAATTGGTTCCATATGAAGGTTTTCTCCTTCAAGAGCATGGCGATCTCGGCATTCTTCTCAGAAATAAGATTCTCATACTTGAGCTTGAGCCTATTAGATTCAGTGTCTGGTGCTGCTATCTTAGAGGTGGAAGACCTCGTTCGCCTCCTTGATCCAGTGCCTTGATCTGGTTCCTCGGTCTTCTGCGAGAAACATCATCCATTCGTAAGAGATCAAACAACGAAATATGCTGAAGAATGTAAGGCAATAGACAACACCTACTGCTCACTTTCACAGAGATCAAACAACATCCATTTGGAAGAGATAAAATAACGGGAAAATGCTGAAGAATGTGAGGCAATAGACGACAACTACTCACTTTCGGGCTAGCAGTGAGGAGGTCAAACAAGGCCCTGAAATCTGCCAATTCATCTTCTGTTTCCTCTGCAACAACCACATGAAATGGAGTTAAAGTTGTTAAGATTATGCCAAAACTCGACCACAATCTTCCAGAAAGTTCAAACCATGCCAGTTTCATTAGCTAAGAAATCACATACTCTAGTGCTTTAATTAAGGGGAAAACCGTACCTTTTCCTATCTACACGAATACACCCTAACTTGATTTACTCTAACCATTAACCAACTGTACAGTTCACAAGCATCAATCTAGCAAGGAAAGTAAGCGTAAAAATTTGAACTTTTTTATATCCATACAAAAATCCCCCACAAGAACCTTGAAAAGAAAACAAGAGGGGCCAAAGACGGATCTACTTTTCATTTAGTCCGCAAAACCCTAATTTAAAAAATTAGAATTCAATCTCCCGAAACATTATCAAGTTCCAATCTTGCAAACAAAGAATGAAATTTCCTGCTTTCCAAGCACTAAGCCATATAACCATCTACCAATAGCAAGCAAAAGAAGGCAGCGGTAACTGACCTAACTTCAGTTTACGAACCATGCTTTCTCTGTGCTTCAATCCCACCATCAACTCAGATTTGGCAGCCACCATCAACAACTCCATCTCTTTCTCTTCCAGGCATGACTTCAGCTACTCCGACATAATAGAAAAAGAAAAACACGCCCCGATTAGTAATCAAATCGGATAAGCGGAAACCCTCAAAGTTCGAATCAAATTGGGGGTTAGAAACAGATGAAAGAAACTTATAGAACAAACCTCGGAGATATGAGTTTCGTAGGCTCGCTGATTGGCAGTCCATGATTCGTGCTGCTTCTTTATCCATTCTTGGAGGAATTTCCTCTCGCTGAGCAGAGTTTCGAGCTGGCCCTTTTGATTCTTTAGCAATTTCACCAGCGGCGCATAAAACGCCTCCCATTTCGCTGGATCAGAACTGGGCTTGGGACGTTTGGCGCCACCCATTTAAGAGCTCTGACGATCAGCGTTGAAGACAATTAGAAGAAAGATTGGAACTTTTTCCAGTGTACACTGATAAATCTTTGCTGTACTATTTGCAAGAGCTTTGCAACTTTGAGCGGGGGGACGAAAGAGGGATCTCAAGTCTCAACAGACAACGGTCGGAAGTTGGATAGCTTTTTGCCTTTATGATAAGAAGAGCGGGGTTACCTTTATTTTCTAGATTCGAAAACGCTTCTTTTGGGCTGGGCTTTATGTTGATAGAAGTTTGGCCCAAGTCGTATATGCAGATTTTTTTAAAACCCAAAGTCCAGTAGCTGATTCGTTACTGACGGCAAAGTTCAGTGATCATTTTGAATAATTGACAGACCTATGTCCCCCCCGAGGCCCTCGAACGTTGAAAACTGGAAAATCATATGTTAAATTGTTAATCCGACGGAGGCTCTTTTTGGTTCTTTTAAGTTTTAGCCCTTCTTCTATGGACACAGTGATAAGCCGACTGCCTTTTCTCCATTCACTTCTCATTTTCTCATTCAAAAAGACCTTGTATTATCATCACACCAATAAAACGACAACGCAATTGGCGGACCTTGCCAAGTTCCCATGCTGAAATCCAGTTCCATTGCTACTTTGGTACTTTGTCCCTCCTGTTCTTGTTTCCAAAATTTCGCCGCTAAAGTTAAATACACATCGACATCCCAATATATATAAAAAAGGAATGCCTCTCACCAGCCAGGCATGAATCTCAATTCTCAACTCTCCAAGTCAAAAGCTTTCAAACTTTCTTCATCACGGGTTAGCCTTTCGTTTTTTATCCCACCCCAAGGCCCCAACATTTCATCTTTGATTTCTCTCCATACCCAACTTCTCTTCTACGCTAATCTCTAATGGGTTCTTGTCAACAGGTGAAGAAGACGACTACTTTGTTTAGATGTCTCCGGTGGCCGATCCGTCCTGCACCCAGAACGGAAGCTACTCCTCAGCCGCCGTCAGCGTGATCAAATGCGTGGAGGCCGTGACCGCGACGAAGATGGAATCCAACGCCGATGACGCCGACGACATCCTGAAGCTGCTGGACACCACGAGGCCGATCAAGGTCGATAGGCCGAGGTCAATCGGTGAGAGGTCGTTTAATGAGCTGTCGGCAGCTCTTTCGCCTCGGCACTACAGAAATTACGAGAATTCTTCCCGGGTTGACCACCTCGACTATGTCTATTCTCCCGGGAGATGGTCCGGTTTTAACTCACCAAGGTCGATGTCGATTCACTTCGAATCGAATCCGATCGTGGCCGAGGCCTGGGAGTCGCTTCGGCGATCTCTGGTTTACTACCGTGGCGAGCCCGTTGGGACCATCGCTGCTCTGGACCACTCCGGCGAGCAGGTCAATTATGATCAGGTGGGTCACAAATCAGTTTGTCACCATAACTCGAGTTGTTGTAAACTCGTGTTCATTCCGTACCACGATTAAATCAATCTTGACTCTGTTATGATTATCACTGTTGGATACTACCTCAGGTGTTTGTGAGGGACTTTGTGCCGAGTGGGTTGGCGTTTCTAATGAACGGAGAGTACGAGATAGTGAAGAACTTTCTACTGAAGACGCTACATTTTCAATCGTGGGAGAAGACGGTGGATCATTTCAAGCTGGGAGAAGGGGTGATGCCGGCGAGCTTCAAGGTGATACACAAGCCGGAGAAGAACATAGAGACGCTGATCGCCGACTTCGGCGAGACGGCGATAGGTAGAGTGGCGCCTGTGGATTCCGGGTTCTGGTGGATCATTCTGCTTCGTGCATACACCAAATCTACAGGGGATTCGTCGTTGGCCGAGATGCCCGCTTGCCAGAGAGGAATAAGGCTCATCCTTAGCCTCTGTCTGTCCGAAGGATTCGATACTTTCCCAACTCTTCTCTGCGCCGACGGTTGCTCCATGATCGATCGTAGAATGGTGAGGCTTTGCTCATTTGCATTCTCTTTTTCCCCTTCTCTCTTAGGCATTTCGTCGAACAGCTGGGCTACAACTGAGCTCGACTCTTGTTGTGTCCTCCACAGGGCGTCTATGGATACCCGATTGAGATACAAGCGCTGTTCTTCATGGCCCTCCGATGCGCGCTGACTCTGCTGAAGCAAGATTCAGAAGGGAAGGAGTTCGTGGACCGGATCGTGAAGCGGCTCCACGCTTTGAGCTACCACATGCGGAGCTATTTCTGGCTGGATTTGAAACAGCTGAACGACATCTACCGTTTCAAAACAGAGGAATACTCGCACACGGCGGTGAACAAGTTCAACGTGATGCCGGACTCTCTCCCCGACTGGGTTTTCGACTTCATGCCGTGCCGCGGCGGGTACTTCGTCGGGAACGTGAGCCCGGCGAAAATGGACTTCCGGTGGTTCTGCCTGGGTAACTGCATAGCGATCCTGTCGTCGCTGGCCACGCCGGAGCAGGCGGCGGCGATCATGGACTTGATCGAGGCGCGGTGGGACGAGTTGGTCGGGGAGATGCCGTTGAAGATCTGTTACCCCGCGATGGAAGGGATCGAGTGGCGGATTGTGACCGGGTGTGACCCGAAGAATACCCGGTGGAGCTATCACAATGGCGGGTCCTGGCCAGGTCAGCTTTCTTTCTTGGTTTGACTGACGCTTTGACTCTCTCAGAGTCAGTAGCCCTCGCACGGGCTTATATTTATTAATTATTTTGGGTCCAAGTATGCAAGCCATCAAAATTAGCACCAAATTATTATTTTTTTCTTATTAGAAAATTAACACCAAATTGGATGTGTTTTGTTTGTTTTTCTTTTAAATGATCACTATAATTATGATATTTATAAGAAATATAATTTTAATTTAACGTAATGTATAGTTTAATTCATAGGATTTTATGGTATTGTGTTTAGGGGTGGCCAACGGGTTGGTCTGTATAGTATAGAACCACACCGGACCAAATCGATGCTTGAATTGGATTATCACGACCCGAATATAATATGGTCGGCCCTATTAGTCCCGTGAATTTTTTGAATACTGAAAAAGTTGACCAAATTAATATTGGGACCAGACCAAAATGAACAAAAGCAGACTGAATGTAGTGTTGGTCCGGTCCTTGGTCCTAACATATCTTTCACTACTGAATCGTGGTTCTCCTAAATTTGGTACGATGCGTTCCGAACCGGACCGTTGCTAATTGTGTTCTAAATCTAAGAGTGGATTATATTGGAAATCAATTAGGAAAACATTTTACTGTCATAACTAAGATAAATGTTAGGTTATACAAGCATACCTCTATTACAAAACGTATTTGGGCACTCAATTCTATATGTATTGATGTCGTTGGATCGTCCTAATAGGCCTTTTTAGTAATTTCATGTTATTTGACGTTCCTTCCTACAGTGCTTTTGTGGATGCTGACGGCGGCTTGCATCAAGAGCGGGCGTCCACAGATAGCTAGGAGGGCGCTGGAGCTGGCGGAGAGCAGGTTGGGGAAGGACCATTGGCCGGAATACTACGACGGCCGACAGGGACGGTACGTAGGGAAGCAAGCGAGGAAGTACCAGACGTGGTCGATTGCGGGCTACTTGGTGGCCAAAATGATGTTGGAGGACCCTTCACATCTGGGGATGGTGTCCTTGGAGGAGGACAAGTTAATGAAGCCACTAATGAAGAGATCAACCTCCTGGACTTGTTGAACCACGCCGTTCAAACAGCTCAACCCACACCATACAAAATTACTGTCGAGATTTTGGCTCTACTATCTATATCTATATCTATATCTATATCTATATATCTATATATTATGACAATTCAAAAGTAATCTCTTATCACATAAGCACTTGGAGGATCCACAATTTACCAAGTTGGACAAGTTTTTTACAAACAATAAATTAGTTATTAATGTATTTATGGAGCTATCTCTCTCTTCTTTAATATTTCTATTTTTTTAATCCAATTATTCTTTTTTGTTTATCCTTTTTTTTCCTTTGATAATAAGTTACATGTTGATAAACTTAACCAAACACACTAATAATTTTTTGTCAAGTAACAAAATATAAATAAGAAAACAGAGAGTGACATATATCACTTTTTTAAATAAAAAATATCTAATTAAACCTTACAAAGTAAAATTTCTACTCATTTTTACTAAAATTGAATGATAAGTTACATTTTGATGAAAATTAAACAATCATATGCATAAACAATAATATTTTTATCGATTAAATAAAATATATATGAAAAGAGAGAAAATAAACATTTGACATTCAATTACCTTGAAAAATAAATTATATTAATTTATATTTTGTTGCAATGAAACACTCTCTTATTCATAAAGTATATGTCTATAAAATAAGTATTGTTTAGCAAAATGTCAGAGTATAATTTTGATCGAGTAGTTACAATTATTTATTTAAAAAAGACTTCATATTCATTAACATCATGTTCTACCTTAAACTCCTCAAATGAAGAGGGATCACATTTGCAATAATTTTATAATGTGTCATAAGTTCATATTAACAATAGTTTCTCTATATCATGTTGATTGATCAAAGCTCTATTGAGATCCTAAGTCGTATGCTAAGAAATTTTCTTTCAGACTTGGATTTATCGTACACGATTATAAATCAAAATTTTCAAAATGACTTAGGTATGATTGTTGACGAATTTTGACTTCATACCCTAGGATGAGACACAAGATTCCTTGAAAAATACATATGTGAATGTTAGAGAAATCTTTCATGAGAATATACGATAAACATTACGTTTAACCTAGGCATTTACCAAATAAAGGTTGACAATTTTTAGTAAGATAGTTAATTGGGATAAACATATTTATCTAGTAATCAGGGGGTCGTTTGGATGGTATAATCTAGTGGGTCAATTGGGCTCAATTGGCTCAAAATGAAGCATTTGGGTCACATTAGCTCATTTGGCAGCACAAAAATGGAATGGTGTAATTGGGCCCGGGTCACTTCAAGATTGGCTCATTTTGGAGCAATTAGTAATACTTGGTGGGAGGGAAGGCAATTGAGATTGCCCCGTTTTCTGTCTATTTGTTCCAATTTTGTCCCTTATTTTAACTATAAACCCACATACGCCCTTGGTTGTCCATACACCTTTTCCACTCTCCTTCTTTATTGTCTTCTCTGCTGTCGAAGGAAGAAGGAGCCAGTGGCGATCTTCTCGCGGCTTCAAGATCATTTCCGAGGTGTGTGATTCTTGTCGTCTAAGAATCTGCCAGATAGCAAATCTCTTTGATTCTTCTCCAATCTATCCTTGTAACTAATCCAAAAAACCCCAGTCCTAACCCTATTGAAGAATCGAGCAAAAGCTCTTTTTCCTTCCGTTGCGGCCAAAGTCCAACCCTCATTGGGTTCTTCTAATGAATCGAGCAAAATTTTTTGTTTGTTTTCTGCCGATTGGACACTTTTCCATTGAAAAATTGTTGATCCTTCCCTGTTAGCTTGTTGATCCTTCTTGGTATTCTGCTAATGCAGGAACCGCCTATGGAGACCGACGCTTGGAGATGGTTGTTGCATGCTTTCTTCTTTCTTCCAAATTAGGGACCTCGATGGGAATGGAGGGATAGAGAGACGAATTGGGGATGAGAATCGTTGAGTGGATTTTGGTGGAGGAAGGTGGGGGTATCTGATGGAGAAGAAGTGCAATAAAATATTAAATAATAAAGGGCAATTACTTATTTCAGCTTCATCTCCACAACAAGACAAAAATTAATTTATTTCCTACAAATGTCGAACCAAACGAGGTAATGTGCTCAAAATGTCTCAGACAAATATGGAACAATTCTAAAACAAGTCAATTTGTATAATTGCCTCATTTTACAATTGGCCCATCCAAACGACCCCAAGTATCTTTATCCAATAATTTTAACTATCAAAATTGGTTGCCAGTTCGTCCAAACTTGAAAATCACGAATTGATATATGTTGTATAAGATAATAAGTTAATGCAAATAATCAAATGAAATCCAACGATATTGTTCAAATGATAAGACATTTTAAAAGCACTTGAAATATGTGTGTATTGTACACACTTTTTATCAATTATTAATATATAAGTGATAAAATCTTTGAAAATTACACATTCAACGACCATATTAACACCAAAATCCTCGATAGTGTGTGTGAGTGTCTTAGATTGATATTCTAAGCCAACATATAAACAATGACCACGGGTTAAGGTTCAGTCTAAACTTCAAGAATTAACAACTGATACATATTGTATAATATACTAAATTTAAGTGTCTTGATAAAAAAACTAGCATCCAAAATGGAAATGAGTCGAGATTATAAAATTTAATCATCATGAGGGCTACAGTGTGTGTCAAGTTTCAATATGGATGAATAAATTGATCCAATAATGAAGTATCTTTACTAAGAATTTCTCACTAGAAAGTCCTAATCTTTACATTGGTCGAGATTTCTTCCAAACTCGCGAATCGTGAATGTGTATTGGAGTTCCAAAGGACCTAAAATCCCAATTCCTTTTGGGGGCTAAATACTTCTGATCACAACCATAGGTTCCAAAGAAGAATGAAAAGAAGCCCAAAAAACCAAAAAAGAACATAACCTCTTATAAGATGAACAAAATAAAACCATATCGAGTTATGGTCCTATCATCCCTACCCTTTTATTCTCCATAAAAGGAGCGGCGGGAGGATATGAAGTAAATAGCAGGATCTTAGGATTTACCTCTTTATATATTACATATTGAACGATAGACAACCCCAATGGTTGTTTAACGTTATGGGGGTAAAAGCAGGATCTCTATCCCGGGGGTGGGGGACAGGCAAGTAGCACTTTTAATATGAGTATTAGGCGATATTAGATAGGTCTGGCAAAGTATCTGGATAATTTTGAGCCTACTATATATATACACACATATATAATATCAAGGTATACTATACTTTTGATTTTAGTCAAAATACGATAGAAGATAGGTATGCTGAAGTATGTGCATAAATTAGAGGTTAGAGAATTACGGAACGGATTTCACCTATTAGAGGTTAGGGTATAATATCATGCCCCAAAAAACTCCGGTTAATCCGGGGTCTAAATAGTAAAAGTCAATGGTCGTATGGTAGTGTGAATGAAAAAGTATAGTGCACACTAGCTTGAATATATATATACATACGACTGTACATATATATACATACGAATGTATATATATATATATGTATGTACATATATATGTATGTATGTATGTATATATATGTATGTATGTATGTATGTATGTATGTATGTATGTATGTATGGTGACTTCTACGGTGCCCAAGGCAAAATCCGGGTACGGGTACCTTGGCCGATCTTAACCATTCGTTTTCAATCTCCACGGCTCACGTTTGTTAAACCTTCCTGCGCCACTAAATAACTAAACTAATTACAAAAAGGCTCCTGCCGCGTTAAGTTTGTTTTCATCCTAGTCCAACTAACTGCCCTGATTAAATTACATGGATTAAGACTGCAAACCCAATTGGGTAGACCCACTGCTGCCCTAACCAATTTCCAGTCTCCCTAACCAAATACACGATCCCTTTCTCGTCTTGGAGGGACGACCCTTCACAGTTCCAAGAGAAGCTCCCCATCCAATTTGAACTCCCCAACTTAATCATCTTTTTGAATCCCAATTACTTGCATCCACATTCGACGTAGATTGAATTTACCAATTTCTTTTGTCTTGTTTCTTCTTCTCCATTTTATTTCCCCTCGCCTATCTCTTTCTAACACGATTACGGCGACCATGTCTATTATTGTGTTCATCAAACTTTTCATTTGCAAAAGAACCCTTGAAAGAGGTTTGCTAACCCTAGGGTTCATGTCGCTAGTGGTTTGTCATCTTGTCTTAGCGTTATTGTGATTTTCTCGAACCTTATATCTCTCGGTGAAATTTAGGTTTCCTGATATGTAGTGTTCGTCTCGCCCAGAGGATTGAGGAAGAAGATGAAGAACACATAATTTGATTCGAATCGGATGGAGAGGTCTCCTTAATTTGTGTTTATGTATTAACGGTGCGTTTAGGAGTAATTCTAGTTGGATTAGGTCTGATCATTGATTTTTGCAGGCCTTTAAATAACATTCAAACGTGGGCTTGTACATGACCCATGCAATATTCAAAAGTGGGCCTGGAACGTGCGAGCCCATTTGTTTACTCCTGCCGTATCAATTCGTGCGCCAACCCTAGTTTAACTAGCTTTACTTACCCTAGTTTAACCTACACGAGTTACCATCATCATTACTACATATCTTCCGAAATCTTCTAACTCTTGACATTCTAGACTCAACTGTCTCCACACTCAACCCCCACGATCACTTTTTCTACACCTACATTCTCTCTTTCCTCCATCTTCACCTTCCCTTGTTCCTTCTTCCTCCAGACTCCATGGCAAACAAAGGTAAATCGTTTGAGGAAATGGCGATACTATCTCTATCAAATGAAGACTGTCGATCCACCGCAAGTCTCGGTGACTATCTTTCATTTACAAGCAAAATAGCAATTGTGGCCGAGTATGAGTTCATCCAACTAAGTCCTTTCCCTCAAGAAGTGAAGAAGTTAATAAAAAATCTTGGCTGGGAAAAGTTCTTTGATCTTCGGAGTCGAGGAAGCACCAGTTACTGCCCGCATGTGGTGAGGAAGTTCTACCACAATTTAGAGCTTTCTGGTCCCTGTGATTCTCATCTCGTGTCGATCTTCATGGGACATAGACTCTACTTCTAGCCTCATCAGTTTGCTGAGATCCTCGATCTCCCCTCTTTAGGACACCCCATTGAGAGCAGAAGCAATCTTGGGCGGCTGTACGATTTTGAGTTTGAAGTTGAACTGGCGAAACTCACGAAGGGGCGCATCCAGGCTTCTTTCCTCCCAGATCCTCTTCGATTCCTCCACT